CACTACTACTACGTCCGTCGCCGCCCCGCCCCCCCCCCCCCCCACTTCTTGTCGTCGAAGCCGCTCGACTTGACTGTACGCTACGCGCTGTGTCTTTTCTCTGCACAACTTGTCTACTGCAATAATATTCCTGTGTTCGTATCTCTGTCCATCGCCGGCTCGGGTGTCCGAACCGACGACCGCCAGCTCACAGGACCTCTAACGAGGTCTTCACCACTGAGTAACGCGCGCCGCTCGGCTCGTCCTCTTATCCAAACGTCCGCGTGACGTTACGCTCCTGTACTTGTTGCGGCCCCTCTTCTACTGTTCCGCTCAACAGTTCAGCCTCGACGCCTGATACCCTGCCAAAAGCGTCACATCGCCCACCTAAGCGCCCACAAGCCCACGAAACACCTCCACCGCCTCGCTCCTCTCGCCCTCAGAGCTCGTCCTCCACGTCCACTCCAGCAGCCCACCGACATATCCTTTCAGCGCCTCCAGGCCCTCCAGGCCCGGCGCCGCGCCCTCAGTCCCCCCGGCCCCGTCCGCGACCGCGCCGGTCTCGTACGAGCGCCGCAGGACGTCCTGCTAGAACGGCCGGCGCACGCGGTCGTACGCGCGCAGGACGTGCGCGAGCGTCGCGGGGCGCGCGAGGGGGTCCGCGAGGAGCGCGGCGAGGAGCAGGCCGTCCTCGACGCCCTGCGCCGCACCAGACGCCTGGTTGGACCGATGGGGCCGGTGCCATACATTTCGACCAGGCAACTCGAGACCTCCCAGTCGTAGTGCAGGTGCTTGAATAGTTCTGGACGACCTTGGATGATAGCCCACCAGAAAGTCTGGTCGCCGAGCGCGGCGTCTGCGAAGTGGCCTGTTGCGGCGTCGGGTTCGCCGAAGAGCGCGCGGAAGGTGGCAGGCGCAAGCGCAGGCAGGCCTGCCGTGCGGTAATGCGTCGAGTCCATGAGTCGGAGCGTGCGAAATCGCTCGAGGTCGAGCAGCATCACGCACGAACAGATCTTGTTCGCATCGTACCACTCCGGGGCGAACATTTCAGGGTGCGACGGCAGTGCAATCGCCGTCGTGGCGTTGAAGGTACCGAACTGGCGCCATAGCAGCAACGGGTCGGTCGTAAAGAAGGCGTCTGTATCAACAAAGATTGCGCGGCGCACGTGAGTGAACGAGGGACGAAAGAGCGCCTTCGGACATAGCAAGTATGGTACTTCCGATATAATGAATGACTTGTAACTGTAAAATCGTTCAGCGATACTCTGGACTTGCATGAGAGGATGCTCGACTCACGGAGCGAACGGTCACGACATAAACGTTGAGGGCAGAGAGCGAGATCGCGTAGATTGGAAAAAACTAACCGAGAGTAATGTCGACTTCGCCGCATATTTATGCATGGTCCCTAGTCTAGAAGCGCGGAGTTTACCCCGCGCACTAGGTCATTTTGATCCACCAGCTTCAGACGGTTATCCGTGGCCGCATTTTCGTGAGAGTTGTGCGAGCATCGGAGCACGCTGCACCGGAGCAGTGGCTTAACAAATTCAACAGATGCGCACTTATGAAGATTTTTGAGGGCTTGGACTCAGCACGCCGTCTGAAGGAAATGCAGCTGGTCTGAAGATCTAAAAGTCGCGTTACTTGACTCACTGGACACCAAATTGAGCTGAGGACCAAAATTCGCTCAAGGATGCTCTAGAGAGATTGGGTTGAGGAGCAGACTGAGGTCGGCATTGAGAAGGAGCCGACCGCATGGGGCTGAACAATACGCTTGCATCTATCATTAGATACCATCGCCTCTATAACGATAAAAGCGCCTCAGTTGGCGTAAACATGCATCAATGCTGTTCAACGCAGTGGTATTAGTAAATATCATTACGAACAAGAAAAGCGGTTACGCGAACAGCGACTCAACTGAACGACACAAATGTCAGGTTCTTTGCAAGGAAGGCCTAACATGGCCAAGAAATATCGCAGCAGCTATTGTTTAAGCCCGAAATGCATGAGGTTGGTCATAGTAAGACGGCAAGGAACGGGAGCAGTGTGGATCAGTCCTATCGAGCGACGCACTACCTTATCTGGTAATGCGGCCGGCATGAGCGCATCACTTTTGATAGGGACACTCGTGCGTCGGGGTCCCGCACTTTGGTCAACTGCTTCTGCAAGTGTGGTTTGACCTAAGGACAAGATGAGCAATGCCCAACGGGAGCCGCTCTGTCTTGTACGCGGATCGATAAGTAAGCCACAAGTAATCTTTCTGGGCTGCTCAGAGTCTCACTGGATTTCGCATAGATATCGACGAGTTTTTCCATGGTATGCCGCAGTGTGGCCTTTTCACGC